TCGTCCCTAACCCTAAACTGAACATGTATATGGGTTATCCCGAAACATCTACATGTGTATGTACCAAATTTCATTGAATCTGATGAGTGGTTGAGATATTGATAGAAAAGTTAAATATTGGCCATATTTCTTTCATACACAGTACAAATAGCAATATGTAAACTTCTGTTTATAGTAAGCACTTTCTGTCAAAAGATTGGTGCAAAAATAGCCAAATCTTTTGAGTAAAAATTGAAAATTGACTCAAATTGTGTCTGTTGGAATTAGGGACATTGTGCAATCTGTCATGTACACATTGCATTGACTGCTAGTTGGTTGGCAATGCATGCTGGGACATTGTACAATCTGTCATGTGCACATTGCATTGACTGCTAGTTGGTTGGCATTGCATGCTGGGACATTGTGCAATCTGTCATTTGCACATTGCATTGACTGCTAGTTGGTTGGCAATGCATGCTGGGACATTGTACAATCTGTCATGTGCACATTGCATTGACTGCTAGTTGGTTGGCATTGCATGCTGGGACATTGTGCAATCTGTCATTTGCACATTGCATTGACTGCTAGTTGGTTGGCAATGCATGCTGGGACATTGTGCAATCTGTCATGTGCACATTACATTGACTGCTAGTTGGTTGGCAATGCATGCTGGGACATTGTGCAATCTGTCATGTGCACATTACATTGGCTGCTAGTTGGTTGGCAATGCATGTCAGGCAGTCTGATTGATCTGATCTTCATAAAAAATCTGTCACAAAAGAAAAATTACAAATAGTTGTAACTGAGGTCCACCCAAGGACGACAGATGGATACAATGGACAATCACCTACCCTACTTCCCCAGTTAGAAGCCCAGGGGCTTTAACAATAATAATAATAATAATAATAATAATAATAACTTTATTGCCTCAGTGTAAAAAGATTTATATAGGATAAGTATAGAAAAAAAGAGTTTTAAAATAATAACAAGATATATGTAAAAATATTACAAAAATAAAGAAAGAAAAGAGCGTAACTAGTACTTAAATGTTAAATAAATCTTTGTGTT